AAAATCTAAAATAGACCGAAACTTTCAGAGAAGAAATCTTTGTAATTAATTAAGAAAAAAAAAATTGTTTTGGTGATGAATTTTAATTTGCGTAACCAGAAGATTTAGTTAAGAAGAAAGATATCGAAACTCGAGAACATTTCGAGTGGGTTTTTATATTTCCAGATTTAACTCGCATTTTTTACTTGATGACCGGTTACGGATTAGCCTGTGAGTATTTTACTAGAAATATACCCAAACACAAATCTACATTTTACAGGATTGGCGCTAAAATTCACATGAAAAAAAAAAATGCGTTAAATGTCATGTATCTTAAAATGGATAGATAGTTTGAGAAAGTTTTGTTAGAGTTTGGTTGTGCGTATCAATCAATTGATCAAACTTCATGAAAAAAATTTTTTTTCTTTATTTTTTAAATTAATAATCAAGGTTATTATTGTTCAATTTGTTTTAAAAAGAAGGAAAATAAATAGAAACACTTAAGAGAAACAAATCTCCGTAAAACATTTGCTTAAAAAGTACATGCAACGCAGCGTGCAGATCACATGTTTTTGGATAAATTAATAAGACAATCTTTAAATTTCAATCCAAGTATTTAAAAACATGAATTCCAACCAATTTGAACAAACTAGGTACTACGAACAATGTATAGATGAGCAAGAGTACGATTTATGTCCCGATTGCGATCAACCAAAAACTTATAGATGGTGGTGTCATAATTGCAATTCGAGAATATTTCAACAAGATTTCAGTAACTGGACGAGCGGAAATGAGCATATTGATAAATTTATCCAGGAAACTCAATTGAAAGCAAGAAATGAATATGAATTATTAGAATGGATCCCTTATGATCGTTTAAGAAATATAAAATATCTTGCTAGGGGTGGTTTCAGCATCATTTATAAAGCTATTTGGTTGGATGGATCGATTTGGAAGTATAAGAAAGAGAAACAAGAATGGTTAAGGTACCTTGAAAATCTTAAAAATGAATCTCATAGTGACGCGGAAAAAGAGGGCGTCACTTCACCCATTAAGGATGATGAAAATTTCGGAATTTATGTGGCTCTCAAGAGTTTAAACGATTCTTCAAATATTCATCAAGATTTTTTGAACGAAGTAAGTTTTTTTTTTTATTTACGTTTTATAATTAACTTTGGTAAATGGTACTTACCTTTTTGATTAATTTTAGTGGAAAAATTATTTACAATTCATGTATTCGGTTAAAAATCATAATTCATCTTTCATGATTATTTATGGAATAACTCAAGATCCTAAAACGTTGAATTACATGATCGTATTAAAAGAAATGAAAGTTGGTAATTTAAGATCTAACCTCATGATAAAAAAATATAATCCGAACGATAAATATGGGAATCTACTTCACATTGCAACGTCACTTTCCGCTTTGCATGGATGTAATTTATTTCATGGGGATTTTCATAGTGGCAACCTACTTTTGCAAGATCAGAATCGTATTTTTGTAAGTGATTTGGGATTGAGCAAATCACCTGATCACCCGAATGATCCTAAGAATATCTATGGAGTACTTCCTTACATGGCACCAGAGATTTTGCTTGACAAGCCATATACCAAAGCTTCCGACATATATTCTTTTGGTATAATCATGTGGGAATTCACATCAGGGGTTCCCGCTTTCAATGATATTGCTCATGATTTTCACCTAACTTTAGAGATCTGTCAAGGTCGAAGACCAAAAATAATTGAAAATACCAATCCTGACTATGTAGAGGTAATGAAAAGTTGTTGGGAGTTTGATCCAAACGAACGACCCAGTGCTATTCAAATTATTGACTAAAACATATCCATATAGTAATCAAAGGGTACCTGTACCAGGTAATAAAATTATACTTTATGTAATCTTTTTTTAAAAAAAATCAATGCTAAGATTTTATATTCTTTTCGTAGAACATGAACATCATATTCAAGATCATTCATGTTATACAAGCAGACAATTTGAATATTCTGCGAGATTAAATGAAGTTTTAAGTCAGGAATTAAGTTCTAGAATTATCGATTATCAAGAAGGTGAAGATGATGATAACTTAATGATAAACGAAGAGTTTGAAGAAGATGATGATAACTTAATGATAAACGGAGTTTGGTAAGAGATTTTATATACATATTTGTCTTCATTTATTTTTATTTTTAACAATAGTATTTATATTGCATTTAATTTAGAGCATTTATGATCTAAAATTTAGATTCTTTCCATTACTTTAAGATAAAATTTATATATAGAGTAAAATTATTATTTTTATTATTTTATTATATTAACTAATGCAATTCACAACTTACTATTTTTACTGCGCCAAATAATTTGATTTGTTCCGCAGTAAACAACCATCACATTTATTTTAAATATCCTCGACTATTTCTTCTTCCTCGCTAAAACAAAGAAAGTAATTAATGCTAGTTGAAAAACGAATTTAGTTACAAAAAATCTCAATGATAAAAAAAAAAAAAAATACCAAAATTTTTCATCAGTGATATCCCATTGTGAATTTTTCATATCTTTATCGTACTTGATGCTTTCATTGCTATCTTCATTTCCATTGTTACTGTTTTTCTTGAGGTTCAGAGATAGTTTTCGAAAATTTTGATGTCTTCCACCTCTGCCGATGTTGTTGTGTCGCTATAATTAAAACAAAGTTTTATTAAATAAGACAGCTTGATACAAAAATACGTAAATAAAATAAGAATCACTAAATTGGTGGATACTAATTTGCACGTTCTGAAAATCTATTATACTAATCGTATTAGCTATTTAATCACTCAAAAATGTTTTAAAGCTTATTCTCTTCTTGAAACCTTTTGATTTTACATCGTAATCGGTAATTCGTTAAATATCCACTTCACATGGTTTGCAAGAAAAGGAAACCAAACCCTAACCTTTTTGGTAGCCCTTGGATCAACATTAATATGTTCAATCAACTTGTTACGAAGGTATTCGCTCTAAATAAATTAAAAAAATTTGTTGAAATCGAAATAGGTCAAAAATTTCATATCGTTACTTTATTACATGGTGTTTATAATTTTACCTCTTCTAGTTCTTTCTTTAAATGCTCATTTTGAACTTTTAACGACGCAATTTGTTCACAGCTTTGGTCATATAACCATTTCATACGATCTGCTTCTCCACTAAGATATCCAACTTCGGAACACTTATGAGTATAGGCTTCTCGTAACCAATTAACTTCTTCTATCAACTAAATGAAACAATAATTATTTTTTTTTATCTCGAACTATAAATGAAAAACACGTAATATAATTTACTTTGTCCCAAGCTAAGGAGTTAATTTCGCCTACTTCAGACATATCAATTTCAATTTTTTTTTTTTTATTTTTTTTGAGAAAAATTGTTTGGTTTGCTTGAAAATTGTTTAGAATAACGAGTAATGTTTTTAGAATGCGTTTTATGTAGGAAAAGGTGAATATATAAACGAAGGTAGAGAAGGGTTAAACCTATTGAATTCTTGTTATGGTTTTTTATAAGATATCTTTTAATACTTCATAATAATCGAAGAATGAGGATTTGCAATTAATGATTTTATTCAGTTAAAATAATTGTAATACATATTTTTATTTTCCTTTTTACATTGTAACGCAAAAATCTCTTTGATACAATTTTTTTGGTATTCTATATGTTTTTACTCCTTCGACTTCTACTCCTTTCCAAACACAATTCGGCTTTCGTAATAATAGATTACCTATAAATAAAATAACATTTATTTACTTACGGTAATAGAATGTCAAAATTATAAGATCATAGTTGATACCTTTTGGGGACATTTGATATTAACCACTTTATTGGGATGTGCAGAACGAGATCCATTTTTCCTAAAATAATTTTAAAAAAAATTTCTTTCGCTTTTCACAATACCGTAATGAGAATAAATCCGTGAATTAATTTAATTCTTTAATTACCATTTCAATGAGCTATACCATTCTCCGGTAACTGCATGTTTAAACATATTTTCCACCTTTTCAACCTGTTCTTCCCAATCACCTTTAATCCGTGCGGGGATGTCTCCTTTAGAGTCATTTTCATTGTTATCAAAATTGGGTTTGGTTTTCGTAACTGATTCATCACATTTGTCAAGGTATTCTTTAATTAATTGCTTGTCACTAATGATTATATCAGGATAAATTTATCAATAAATTGGTTCAGATCTGAAATGACTGTAATCAATTTATTTTTTTTTATTAATATTTTTCACCATTTATCTGCCTCGATCCATTCGGCATCATCAATCGTTTCCCATTTTACGAGATAATGAACTTTACCCTAAAACATTTTACGTGAAAACGTTTAGTTAAATTAAATCGTAATAGATTCGGCTCATAGAATTTTTTTTATACCCTCTGATACTTTATTCCAAGGATGGCTTCCATTGTAATTTCTTCAATCTTTGGACCTTCTTGAACTTCCTCGTTAACATATTGAGCATATTGAGCATATCCTGACGCTTGATATTATTAAAAAAGATTAAAAGGAGACGTTAAAGGAATAAAATGTTAAATTAAAACATCATTCATACTACCGGAATTGAAAAAAATAGAAGCATAATGTCGAATATTATCTTCATTTAGTTCATAGATGGGAATATAAGGAAAGTTCATGATTCATGAGAAAATAATGTAAAAAATTTATAAGGTGGCTTTAAACGAAAAAGGATTTCAAATGCAAAAAAAAAAGACGATTATGTTTTGAAAGTCTGCTGGCCATAAATTCATGACGTAATTATATGTCATCTAAATTTAAAAACTAAGCGTCATGTCATATGTATATACTATACGTGTAAATATTTTAAATTTAAACGATAATTAACAAATAAAATTGTCAAATTAATAAAAATTTAAAATGGAATTTCAGAAACAGTAATTTATTCAAAATCTCAAGAAAACAACGATATTTTAAATAAATATTTCGTCAATCAGGAAATCCTTTATCAATATTTTATTAAAAAAAAAAAAATCCATTAATTTGAACGCGTATTCCTATACATCTTGATAATTCCTTTTTCCATATACCTATGAAGAACGCCAAGATGCTCATTTGTCATACTTTGAACGTGATAAGTTTTAAATGTCAATGGATTTCTATTTCGACCTTCCCAATTTTCCAAAAATTTTATCAAATCTTCCATCGTAATCTCCCAATTAAGCATTAAATTAACAGTATCAAGGCTTAATGACGCAAACGTAACTATCAAGTTCAAAATACCACAATTGAAACCTCCATGATTACGGGTAGATACTAGTATAAGTTCAGTTAAACTTCGACAATCTATCAATAATTGTTGCAAGTCTTTTAAATCTTTTTGATCCATTACAAGGTTAACACTAGAAAGTTTTGGACAGCGTTGATAAATGATTTGAAACAACCCTTTGGAATGAATCTTGTCGTAAAAATATTTTCTTACTCGAATCAAATTAAGTGATCCTTCGGTTCTAGAGATGATTTTTGATAAAGTAGCTTGTGAAGTATATCCCAAATGAAGTATTTCCAATTTAGGACAATCTAAAAGAGAAAATAATCCTTCAAAATATGTCCTATGATTAAGATTCAATAAGGACACTACTCTCATATTTTTAAATCTTCGGTAAAATTCAGGTGGAGGGAAATTAATTTCTCGATCCAAATGAGCAGAGAATTGTAGAAGGTGTTCCGAATGTTCCAACAGTGCAGTTCCCAATCCTATAAGTGATGTTTTATCTTGATTGAATATTTCATGAAATTTATCAATTTCAAACTCGAAAATTTTCAATTTTTGTTGAACGCTAATGAATCGATTCAAACCAAAATTCTCTTTTAAAAATGATATTAAACTAATTTTTTCTAACCTTTTACAGATCAAGGATAATCCATAAAAGAATGACGGATCGATCTTCGTGATACATGTTAAATGAACGAGTTCCGGAAGACAATTGTTTGCTCCGAGAAAGTTATGCAATTGTTGTTTATATATAACATCGTAATTAAATGCCTTTAATGTCAAGGACTTTATGTTTGAACATTCACTCATGAAAAGTTTGAAAATTTCTTGCTCAAGGACATATCGTTGATAATCATTTTCATGGTCAGAATCGATTAGCAAATAAATGAATGCGAAGGTATATTCAAGGTCAAGGTGATTACAATATCTGATATAGCTAACCAAAGGTCTTTGTTGTAGTGTTATTAACTGTTTAATATCCTGGCTTGCTAAAAGTTCTCTTGATTCCCTAGGTAAATGTGACAAGATGGTTCTGAATAAAAGCAACACTTGATTGAATTTATAAACCCTCTGTTTATTTTCCAGAAATTTCCAAGGGTTTTTCCAAAGGATTGGTACAAAGGTTTCAAACCAAAACCTATTAACTAACAGACAGGAGAATAAGAGTTTATTGTTATCTTTCAACTCTTCAGAGATAAGACAAAGTATATCTTTATTAAAGTTCGTCATTTTTTCAAAGGGATCTGCTAGAAATGGGAAGATAATTTTTTTTTTTTTTTTTTAAGTTCCAGAACATTGCGTAAATCGATCGTCTGATCGACTACCTTGTATAATTTTTTTTTTTTTTTTCGCAAAACGATTATCGATTATTTGGAACAATTTCTAATTTATATAATTTTTGATTTATGAAAATTATTGATTCAATTAACATGAAGCGATACGATTTCATTGATATACGATCGCATTTTGAAAATTTGTATCAACAGGAGCTTACCTCACAACCAAGAACCGAATTCTTCATCCAGATAATTAGGAATAGCATCATGGAAAATTCGGTCAATTAATATTCTCGCTTTGCCTGTAAAATAATCTTTAGCTTTAAACCTACAACAAATTAAAAATGGAATGAATCATTCTTTCGACCATTACATTAGCATGCTGAAAAAAGAAATATACCATGACAATGATCCAGGAAATTACACCTTCTCGATAAAGCGTCACAAAGAATATAATAACGATACTTCAATACTTCAATACACGTACCCTAGCAAGACTAGTTGAATCTAAAGAACTGACGAACCTAAGGTCTTTATTACCAACTCTAGAATTATTATAAACTTTATTTATTTCTTAGTTTAATTGGTTTCTATAAGTTTTATTGGGATTATATAAGTTCATTAACTTGCTAGGATAGGTTTGATTCGTAAGTCGAAGCATGTTATCATAGAGGTCCGAATCGGTCAAAAATTTTGTAATCGATTAATCAATCGTTCATAAAATTTATAATCGATTATTATTCAAATTAATCGTTGATT